AAGCTGGGGGCGGGGCCTGACAGCCAAGATGGCCGGTCGTGCTGTCTAAGAGCTCTTGCACTGGAGGGCACAAAAATCGAGAATCCTGGTAAATCCTACCAAGCCAACAACCCATGGTGCCCAGAAAACGACACAGAACCACATGAGGAACAAAACGGTACCTATCATGCACCGCAACGATACACCAGCACACGAACCGGCCATGCGGCCTATCTTGCAGCGGGGCCTGAAGCCTGGGGGAAGCGGCCGATCGCCCGGCACGGGACATGCTAAAAAGCGAGACATGCATGATGCCCAGCCTCTGGACCGGCGGGGGATATCCCGGTCCACGCTGGGGACGATTACCCCCACAACAAGGCATGAACAAGCGACAATACTAACTGAAAAACTAGGCTGTCAAGGCCCAAACAAAATGGCGCCATGGGCGCGACAGGCGTCAAACAGCTCCCCTGCAAAACCACCCAATAGCACACTGGACTTCTTTGAATAGCTCTGTACTAGCCTATGGGCTAAACTCTACAACAGGGGATCTTCAAGCTGGCGAGGAAAGAGGCGGCGGCGTGGATTCGCCCTGCCACCCGACGCCTCCTGTGCGGATGTCCGCCGCGAGCCCCCAGAGCGGCCCTCAGACAGAGACAGGGTGGGAAATCAGAGTGGCGGGGAGCGGAGACGGGCCTCCCGGGCACCGACACCAGCCCTCACACACGGCAGCGCAGGACCATCGGGTTTGCCCGACCCACTCAACGCTCAGTGGCAACCGAAGCCACCGACCAACAGAGAACGTCCCCGCACATACAGTCTCACGCTGCAAGCCCATATCAAGCACCCACTATATCTGGGGCGACCAACCAACCCCACCAAGCCATGCCCACTTACCGATCCCAAATGGGAACCCAGGGACACTCTATAGGGGCACCAGGACTTTGCCTGACTGGCGTGGGCTGAACAAAGAATACCTTACAAACTGTCTGCCTCGAGGACTAAAACCATTTGTGCCAATCAACCCACTGTCACCCAGCGGAATTACCCTCACTTCCAATGAATCTTACTTGTTTGCTTTCTCCGGAGTATAGCCTTAATAGACTATCCACTATCAAAGTTTATGTTTCATATGTTTAATGATTACAGGCGTATGGGAAACCCTCAGCACCAGAGAATGAGCAATAGACCTCTCCTCTCCGAGACTAGCTATGGGTCACAAGCATGACTTTAACAATGAAAATATAGTAATGTTCGGAAGCCACACTCTAGCCTCCCTTAGCGTGCTTTAACCTATGTCTAACAACATATTAGCACCTACACATTCTACAAGTATGTAGGTTTAGATGTTAAAAAAAAAAAAATGCAAAAAAAAGCCGTATAATAAGCTCCTTCCCCGAATACGAAGTCAACTACCGATCACTCCAATCACCTGAACAGGAACCATATGAATCATACACTCTCTAAACAGCCGAACGAGAATCACCATATGAATAAATCCCCCAAGTACGAGACAAAGCTCTGTATTGAGGGTCAGCAGGAATCTGGTTTAATATGGGCTACCTGCCCGGTATTTATGTGGGTTTTCCACCAGGTGGACACTCCCCTAGGGGACCTGGTGTAAAACTGGGACACATTGTACATTAGCCAATCACAGGGAGGAAGACATACACTCCTCTTTTCCAGTATAGGACCCTCCTCTCTGTCCTGGAGATAATTGGGAAGGACAGAGGCCAAACACTTTATACAGAATAGTGAAAACACATAAATACATAATACAAGAACTACCGAACACAATAGATACATTCCACACATCCCCAGATAGCTTGGATCTGAGTGCACATTATTACCAAATGGTGCTCAGATCCTATACACACACTGTTCAATCGCCATGGAGCCAACTATCTGGGATAAGTCTGTTCGTGAAAATAAACACCGAACGGACCGGCGTTCGTATGCTGTAAAGATAGAAGGGAGGTCGGCGGCTCTCAGCGGTGTTTGTGAGAAACAGTGTCAGTTTTTAGTTCCGTGAAATCATCGACGAACACTGCTGAGCATTCGTATGTCCAAGATGGCTCCTGCCTCATGGTCGGCCTATGAACGACAACCACCCAGTCGGCATTCGACAGTTAGGAAGAGTCTGCGGTTAACCACAACGTTCTAATGAGGTCAAGAGGTTAACCAGCAACACACTTCCATGCTGGGTGTCAGACCATTCGGTGAATTGTTCGGTAAAACAGAAACAAGCGTGGAGATCGTACGGACAAGGAAATAGCCGAACAAACAGACGAATGAGGGAGCAATAAAAGTATTTCACAGGCAATTGGTTCTGTCACATGAAGTTTATGAAAGTTGTCTGTATATGAGAGAGCTAAAATCAGCTAGGAGTGTAGACACTATCAAACTGTACACCAGTTAACAGAAAAACTGTTTCTGTTCATTATGTTTCCAAGTATTAAAAATTACCTTAATAATGTTTTTTAGTTTTAGAAGTATTAAAATAGTTGTATGCAACACAGAAATGTCAGAACACCATGGAAAAGGAGTCCCGAGGGTAAAGATTAAAGAATAAAACTAGATAGTGGTCTAGATAGGAATATCACACTTTCAATAATACAGAGTCAAAAATGTTCTGTACCCATGGCAAATAAATATCAAAATTGTTAACCAGTTCATAAACACCCAAAACAAAACTGGACTTTTAAACTTTGGCTAATGCATATCTACAAAATAAATGTGAAGGCAAAACATACTACCTAATATTTAAAATTTTACTGCCAATAAAGCTGAAAAAGTCAGAACTTGTGTTACGTTTATTGTATTAAAACTAAATCTAACTCACTATCTGCTTGTTAACTTGAAGATGTGTATATCTTATATATACCCTAACTCAAAGTTAACAAGAAAAAATGGCGCCCTCGTGTGCTTGCAATTACATCACAATGTGATGCATATGGAAAACAAAGTGCATTGATAATGCTATTAGGTGAACTTTTTTAATTAACCTACCATTATGTTCCACAGGGACATGGCAATACTTCTTCAAAGTATTAAAACTGACTTTTCCTGTATAGGTATGTTATATTCTTAATTTTGTTATGTTATATTTTAGTTACAGTACTTATTTGTACTTTTATTGGTCTAACTTATTAAAGAAGTTGTTAAAATGTTGAAAACTTGCCAGGATTTTAATCACCAAAATGTCAGTGCTTAAAAGATTATTCCAACCCCTTTTTTTAATTTAACAAATCCATCCTGAAAAGCCCTACTTGGCATTTGGCATAACGCCCCCCCTTTTTTTGTGAAAAAATGAAAATAATGTTAAAACTTACCTTGAGCTCAGTGCCATGCCAAGTCCATTATCATTTCCCCTTTTTCTACATCGCCAGGCGGCATCATTGGTTCACAGTCCTTGGTCCAATACAATGCTTTTCATAAAGAAGCATTGTTGGAGTGGCGAATAAAACAAAATGCATTCATGAACATCGATATAATCTGAGTGACAGCACACCTTGCCATCTAAGTACGCCCAACTCCCAATCGCAGAGGAGGGGAAGGAAGGGCCGAAAAGAGTGGTGCGAGTTGGATAATGTGGTTAATGGAAACACAGTACAAAGCAGACATCTCTATGCAGGCGTGCTCACAGCTTTGTCTGCAAAAGAAGCTGAATACGACCATTGCCAGAGCATGCTAACGATGGATATATTTTTTGCACAGAACTCTCAGTCACTGCTGGAGGTGTAAATACACCCAAACAAAAATTTTCTAATTTACTTAAAACACTGTACATATGGATTGTTTGCCCGAAGACCACTCCTAAAACAGAATTAGTCTTTAGGAATGGAGTAACACTTTAACAAGGTAAGTTATAGGGCTCTTTTTTAGTGAACCGATAATGATAAAAGTATTGTCAAAACATACCAAAATAGTGGGATTTTTATAAATTTTACTTTGTCAAAGGCTAATTGGCAGTCATTAACATGGCAATAAATATTGTATATTAGATTGTAATTTACTGCTACTTTCTTAAATGGAAAAAAATGCTTATAAAAAAAAATTCAACCAACTGTAACATTTAGAAAAAAAAAAACATTCATACTAAGGTGTGAATTATATGCATTAGTATGCACAGAATTTCCCCAATTGTCAGAACTGTTCAGTGGAGCTTGATTTTCAAATATAGTATATCTGCTTTTGAGAAACAAAACAATAGTAATGGTTTCTTTTTGCTTATAATATGGGTTTACTAGTACCCAACGTAACAGTACGTCATATAATAATTTAGGAGGGAAGAAATGCTGAGGACTCAAATCCTGAGGTTTGAACAGACATTACAGATAGAGCAATTATTGATTCAACTGCTGTCATTATCCTCATTTAGTATTTTCTTCATTTGTACATTAAACCAGCCAAAATGTAATGATTGTGACCACTGTTTCTTCACCAAAAGGATCTATTTCCTGAAATCCGTTTATATGAAAATACATTTTAAAGAACATATTTTCAGACATAATCAAAAATCTAAATGGGAACTGCAAATATTTACAATTTTATTTTTGTAATCTTTATTTCAGTATTTCAGAAGTGTAACAGTAAGTAAAATAGTACAGGGATAACATTTGAGGTTATACATATGATTTTGAATAACATCGCATTTTCTTGGCAAATCTTAAGAGGACTTCCAAAATAACAGATCTTTAAAGTTCAAAATAACAGATCGGCAGTCATTGCAAAAAATAAAAAAAAATAAAAAAATTATCCAGTTAGGATTTTGATTTATACAAAACTACTATTTGAGGTGCTGAAAGAAGAGTTACCCCCAACGGTAAGTCT